ACAGTTTCCATGCCTAAGGGAGGACCAGAACTCACTGTCGCCTGGTGATTGGCCCAAAGCCATCCATGAAAACCAAGCCTAAGGAAGGATTATATCTCACATCTATGCCTTCTAGCCTGATGCTTTACCCACTAGACCAAACTGCCTAGGAATATTTATCAACGCCTAGGAACAGAGCACGCACAAAGAGGCATCTGTACAACTATTCAATTGTGTCAGGGGAAGTTTGGCACAATGAGGCCATCGACGACCCGGTGGTTAAGATGACTCCATCGTGACTGTCGGAGAAGACAACACCGACCGGACTCTTGAACTTCTTCTTATTTGGGGGTTTTCCGAAAAGCATGTAGCTGGCCTCTGGAAGCACGCTGGACCACAAAGGCCTTGAAGAGGATCCAACACAGCTCCCACGTTCAAAACCGCTCCAAGGATTTGTTAGCTAGATCTACGTCTCCTTCCATAACCAGTAAAGGCCCAGAGAGGAGGTTGTGTAACCTAATGTTAGGGGTGACAACTTAGCAGGGTTGCAATAACTCAGGGGCTGCCCCAAAGAAAAGTGGGGGGGGTGTTAGCCTGTTCTCCAAAGGACCAGAAGGCAGGACAAGAAGCAACGGATGGAAACTAACCAAGGAGAGAAGCAACCTGGAATTAAGGGGGAATTTCCTGACAGTTAGAACAATGGATCAGTGGAACAACCTGCCACCAGAAGTTGTGGCTGCTCCATCACTGGGTTTTGTTTTTTTTTTAAGCAGAGATTGGACAAGTATTTGTCTGACATGGGATGGGATTCCTGCCTGAACAGGGGGTTGGACTGGATGACCTCCAAGGTCCCTCCCAACTTCTGTTACTCTGTTTCTAAGAAATATCCACTGTCATTTGTTTTCTTGTTTTCTTTTTTCTTTTTTTAACCTAAAACCCAGTTCCAAAACTTTACTGAAAGAGAATCAGATTGTTCATCAGTGATTACGTTTCCCAGACTGAGTGACAAAGACTGATTTCCTGCCGCTGCCCGTTAGACCAAAGACTTTCAAAAGACGCTTCCCCCCCCCAAAAAAAACACATGAATCGATTATTCCCAGAGCCCGGGAAAGCACTAGCATTTTGAAACACGCCCTCTTCCTACCTGGAAATGCACAATGATTTCTCAATTGGAAAAAAACAAAACAAAAACACGCATCCTGGAGATTGCAACATGGAGACTGCCACACCAAGGTTGAGAAACACGGGATTTACAGGTTGAAGCGATTCAAATCCTGGAAAAACGGATCGAGTTCGCTTTGCAACGTTTCCGTGCAAGAACAAGTGGTCGGGAAAGCAAAGTACAGAATCCCTTGCCTCTTGGATAGACAGAATCCAAAAAGTAGCTACGGGCAGGGGTGGGAATTCAGCCGGTTCGGGCAAACCGAACCTAGGAGGAGAGCCTTCTCTGTGGGGGCACCTACCGTCTGGAATGAGCTCCCCCCCGGAGATACGGAGGATCCCGGATCTGCGCACCTTCCGCCGCGCTTTGAAGACCTTTTTATTCCACCAGGCGGGCCTGGCCTAATCTTTTTCCCGCTTTTCTTTTTAAACATGCAAATTTTAATCTGCATGTTTTTAAACAACTGGGGTATTTTAATTTGTCTGGGCCAAATTATTTAATTCGATTTTATCCTGTTTTTTAAATTTTGTATTTATGTATTTTACTGTTTGGCTGTTCACCGCCCTGAGTCCTTCGGGAGTAGGGCGGTATACAAATTTGATAAATAAATAAATAAACAAACCGGATATTAATTTTAATCTGGTTTGCCAAACTGGTAGTTGCAAGGACTGGTTGACCCTGCCCATCCCTCCCCTCCCCTTCCCGGAGTCTCCACGCGGCCCGTTTTGGAAGCCGGGTAAGTGCAGGGCCCGCGCAGAGGCTCTGGGAGGGCGAAAAACGAGGCTACCGGAAGTACCCATTTCTGGCCTCCGGAGCCCGGGGAAGGCTGTTTTAGCCCTCCTCGACGCTCAAGGAAAGCCTCTGGAGCCTGGGGAGGGCAAAATCACCCACCCACCCCGCCGCCATGGTGCAGGAAGCTGACTAGGCCACGCCCCCACGCCCACGCCCACCCAGAAGCCAGGCAGAGAACCGGTTGCTAAAATTTTTCAATCCCACCCCTGGCTACGGGGGGGAAGACTAAAAACAGGTGCCAGGTGTGAAATCCTCACCTTTTTCACCCGCCTCCAAGGACAGCTTCCGTTCAGTTCTCATGTGTGCTCTTGTTGGCTTTGGTTCTCTTGCCTGTTCTTGTTGGCTTCTCTCATCCAATGGAGCCTCCGCCATGGCATCTGGGCCGCTGGCACCCGCTTTACCCGGGCTGGGAAGGACCGAACGCGAAGGATCCTCTGAGCTTGGAGGGGCCTCCGTTTCTTGCTCACAAGCATCTGGTTTGTTTACCTGTGGAGAGCAAGGAAAGGAGAAATGGTGCATTTGGAGCTGTGACGGCAGAAATAATATAAAATATAAAATATATAAGTTATTTTTTATTTATTTTATTTTATTTCGAATTTATATACCGCACCTTCTCCCAAGGGACTCAGGGCGGTGTACAGCCCGATAAAAACATACAATACAAACATTAAAAAACAATTAAAAGGATATATATTAATTTGGCTCCAATTTAAGATAACAAACCAATTAAAAATTAAAAATATGTTAAAAAATATGTTAAGCCAGCCCGGCTTGCTGAAAAAAGAAAGTTTTAAGGGCACGGCAGAAGACACCGAGGTCTTGGATTCTCCTTATCTCTGGGGGCAGCTGATTCCAGCTTTGCTCAAACTGCGTTATTTGCTGTGTTCTTTGGGATCCATAGCTGGGGCAGAACAAGTGAGGAGGTTGAGTTATACAGGTAGTCCTCAGCTTACAGCAGTTCATTCAGTGACTTTCAAAGTTACAACGGCATTGAAAAAATGACTTACGACTGTTTTTCACAGTTACAACCTTTAACCTTTATAATAATATAAAATAATATAAAATATAAAGATAATAAAATAAAATAATAAAATAAAGTAAAATAATAAAATAAAGTAAAATGAAATGAAATAATAAAGTAAAATGAAAGATAAAATAAGATGAAATGTATCTAATTTTATCTTTCATTTTACTTTATTTTATTATTTCATTTTATATTACTTTATTTTATTATTTTATTTTATTATTTTACTTATATGTATATACACACACATACACACACACACACATTTATAAAATGTTTTCCTGTCCAGAGATGGGATGGGATGGGAAGGGAAGAGGAATGACATATACAGGTAGTCCTCAACTTATAATAGTTCATTTAGTGACCATTCAAAATTACAATGGCACTGGAAAAAGTGAGTTATGACTTTCACATGTCAGGGTTTCAGGCTGTCTTCAAATAAATTGCGTCTCAAACAAAGTCTTTTTTTGAAACAAACTTCCATTTTATTTAGCAAGGCAACTTTTACACTGACTCCATGCAGCCAGAACTGATGTGCTGTCCCAAAATCCCTCCTCTTCCTTCCCCAACTCCTCTGCATTCATTGGCCATCTTCCCAATCATTCACCCCTAATCTACTGCTCCAATTCAAAGAATTTCCCCCCTCCCATCCATCTCCTAGGGGACATTATCTCCAGAGGAAATAAGTAGGTGAAAGGCAACCGTCCCGTTGCAGACGCCTGCGTTCTCCTTCTTATGTCAGCACTAGGATAAATGCATCTTGACGTGCTGACATCACACTTACGACCGTTGCAGCATCCTCATGGTCACGTGATCAAATTCGGATGCTTGGCAACCGATTCATATTTATGACGGTCCCTGTGTCCCGGGGTTCACGTGATCCCTTTTTGCGACCTTACGACTAGCAAAAAATGAGGGAAGTCAGATTCACTTTACAACACTGTTACTAACAACCGCAGTGATTCGCTTAACAACGGTGGCAAGAAAGGTCATAAAATGGGGCAAAATTCACTTAGCAACTGTCTCACTTAGCAACACAAATGTTGGGCGCAATTGCGGTCGTCTATTGAGGACCCCCTGTTAGAGATAAAAAGAACGTTTTCCTACTCAAAGAGCAAGGAAACAACTAAACCATACACGTATATAAAAAAGGAGACTCAAAACATAATCCCTTTTCTTCAAAGTCCTGATGAAGAGAGAGGTATTTTTAAGGTGGAGCATGGAGGCAAAGCCACCTGCCAAATAACAGCCCAGGAGGAACCAGTGAAGTTAGATTCTCCTGCAACAGTTCATGGCAAAGCAGATTCAGTTCCCAGACATTTATTATCACGGCCTTAAAAGGTACATTCTCTGAAGAATTGGGTAGAGTAGGGTAGGGTAGGGTAGAGTAGGAATAAAACATAGAGTAGAGTAGAGTAGAGTAGAGTAGAGTAGAGTAGAGTAGAGTAGAGTAGAGTAGAGTAGAGTAGAGTAGAGTAGAGTAGAACAGAACAGAACAGAACAGAACAGAACAGAACAGAACAGAACAGAATAGGAATAAAAAAGAGTAGAGTAGGAATAAAATGCTACCAACGGCCTCCCATCGACCCGTGCGCTCCCACAGAGAGGGCCTCCTCGGGGTGCCATCAGCCAAACAATGTAGGCTGGTGACCCTCAGGGGGAGGGCCTTCTCTGTGGGGGCACCTACCCTCTGGAACCAGCTGCCCCCAGAGATAAGGAGAATCCATGACCTCGGTGCCTTCCGCCGTGCCCTTAAAACTTTCTTTTTCCAGCAAGCCGGGCTGTCTTAACATATTTTAAAATATTTTTAATTGGTTTGTCATTTTAAACTGGGGCCAAATTAATATATATTCTTTTAATTGTTTTTAATGTTTGTATTGTATGTTTTTATCTGGCTGTACACCGCCCTGAGTCCCTCGGGAGAAGGTGCGGTATATAAATTCGAAATAAAATATAAAAATAAAAAAAATATAGAGTAGGAATAAAACAGAGTAGAGTAGAATAGAGTAGGAATAAAATGTAGAGTAGAGTAGGAATAAAACATAGAGTAGAGTAGAGTAAAGTAGAGTAAAGTAGAATAGGAATAAAACATAGAGTAGAGTAGAGAGTAGAGTAGAGTAGAGTAGAGTAGAGTAGAATAGGAATAAAACAGAGTAGAGTAGAGTAGGAATAAAACAGAGTAGAGTAGAATAGAGTAGAGTAGGAATAAAACGTAAAGTAGAGTAGAGTAGGGTAGGGTAGGGTAGGAATAAAACATGCAGTGGAGTGGAGTGGAGTGGAGTGGAGTGTGTTGTGACCTAGGCCCAAGTAGTTATTACCAGACACAATCAGTCCTAAACAAACATATTTTATTAGAAACAGCTGAGAATTACTTCATTCTCAGCTTAATCCAAATTAATTCCAAAACAAATTCTTCATAAACAGTCCTTCGGCCTTATCACCAACCTTTGTCTACTTTGGCACCCTGCCAAAGGCTTTTCTTGGCAATAGTTCAGAAGCAAGAGACACTGACAAGAAGCAAATGTAGCAACGTTGCTTTCCTACAAAGATCCCAAGAGCCCTTGCTGCTGTTTTAAGCCTTCTGGGAGGAGCCAATCACCTCCTGGCCTTACTCCTGAGTCGTCCTTTTTGCTTTAGCTGCTCTTGCCTTCTGGCAGTTCTTTGCATGCCTGCACTAGGAACAGGCTCCTCCTGTTCCTCTGCCTCTCTGCTATCCGCCTCTGGAGGCTCCAGAGTCTGCGCATCACTCCCCGATGGCCCCGGCCCTATCTCTGCCTCCGACACAGAGCCCTCATCAGGGCCTTCCCCTGACTCCAGGACAGGCCCATTGTCCTCCCCAGCCTCCTCACTGTCCGACTCTGCTGGCAGCTCCGCAGGCTGCTGGCGGACCACAACAGAGTGGAGTGAGTGGAGCGGAGCGGAACGGAACGGAACGGAACGGAACGGAACGGAACAGAACAGAACAGAACAGAACTCCTTATTGGCCAAGTGTGATTGGACACACAAGGAATTGGTCACTCAAGGAATCCTGTATATGATAGGGAGGGGGGAGATAAATTGCAGGGGCCAAATTCAGTGGTGGGATTCAAATAATTTAACAACCGATTCGCTGCCCTAATGATTTCTTCCAACAACCAGCTCACGAAACTGCTCAGAAAGTTTAACAACCGGTTCTCCCGAAGTGGTGCGAACCGGCTGAATCCCACCACCGGCCAAATTGTATACGGAGCGGGGGAGAAGGCATGGAGATCCTGCAGAGCTAGTTCCTCTTTAGGACGAGCGAAGAAAACCTTTCGAAGGCAGCTGGGTAAAATAGCCCCAGATGGGCCAATGGCAGCAGCATTCCTCGAGTCAGACGGTGCTAAGAAGAGAGTTATGCAAGAGCCCTACTACCCTCCTCCTTTTGGTCAGGATGACGAGCGAGCAATTCTTGGAAGGCCAACGTGCAGTTTGAAATCGCTTTCAAACTCAAGAGTGCCTTGCCAGGATTTGGCTGAAATTCGCCGTCTCCTGTGCAACGGAGCTGCTGAAACACGGGCGGTTCCATCGTTCTACGGCCTCTTTCCATTCCTTCTCTTGAGAGGTTATTCTGTGCTGTCATCGGCTATTTCTTCAACATTGGCAGCTTTACGATGCGTGGGACTTCAGCACCCGGAACGCGGCAGGGAACGGAAAGCTCTAGCAATCGCGCTTAAGACTTACATGCCGCTTCGCAATGCTTTACGGCCCTCTCTAAGCAGTTTGCGGAGTCAGCATATTTGCCCCCAACAATCTGGGTCCTTCATTTTATCGACCTTGGAAGGATGGAAGGCTGAGTCAACCGTGAGCTGGTTAGGATCGAACTCCTGACAGTGGGCAGAATTTGCCTGCAGTACTACATTGTAACTACTTTGCCATCATGGGAGGGAGGGAGGGAGGGAGGGAGGGAGGGAGGGAGGGAGGGAGGGAAGGAAGGAAGGAAGGAAGGAAGGAAGGAAGAGCACTAGCACTTCGACTTATATGCCGCTTCACAATGCTTTATAGCCCTACTCTAGGCGGTTTGCAGAGTCAGCCTCTTGCCCCCAACAATCTGGGTCCTCATTTTACCTACCTCGGAAGGATGGAAGGCTGAATCAACCTTGAGCTGGTCAGGATCGAACCCCTGACAGTGGGCAGAATTTGACTGCAGTACTGCATTCTAACCACTTTGCCACCACAGGAAGGAGGGAGGGAGGGAGGGAGGGAGGGAGGAAGGAAGGAAGGAAGGAAGGAAGGAAGGAAGGAAGGAAGGAAGGAAGGAAGAAGAAAGGAAGGAAGGAGGGAGGGAGGGAGGGAGAAAGGAAGGAAGGAAGGAAGGAAGGAAAGAAGGGAGGAGGGAGGAAGGAAGGAGGGAGGAAGGAAGGAAGGAAGGAAGGAAGGAAGGAGGGAGGGAAGAAGAAAGGAAGGAAGGAGGGAGGGAGGGAGGGAGAAAGGAAGGAAGGAA